GATAAATAATAAAATAATTAATATTTATTATTTAATAAATTAAAATTAATTTGCATTTTAATTTTTTTTAAACATATAAAGGCACAGTATTAATTGTATTAAGTTTGTAGAAAATGGAGAAGGCAAGGGTAAATACCTCAATCAAGACTAATTAAATGAGTTGATGATTAATTATAAGCATTAGATCCTATTGAAAATTGTCTGTCATAATATGTCCAAAGACTGTCAAATTGAATCAAACAACACTGCCACATGGGATCCACAAACTGAGCCTAAAGGCCACGTAATAGGATCCAATGGATTGGGATTGATATGATCGCATTCAAAAGTTGCATTAATTTTTGACAATTCTTGGGAGACTAAGATGTAACGGGAGAGCACCTTACCTTGCTCGCTTAATGGTTATAAATTATACTGTAATTATACCTTCAATTTAAGGATTAGGTTTTAAATTTTTTATTTTTGAAATTGTAACCTATTAAAAAAAAGTAATTGGAGAAATGCAAAAGTTTGTAAGAAAAGGAAAAGACATGGGACGAATACATTAATAAAATTTAATTAAATGAGCCGTACGCTAATTTTAAGCATTGGGTCTTATTGAAAGTTGCTCATCGAAACGTCTCCAATTGCTATCAAAACAAAAAAACTTTGACACGTGAGACCCATGTACCAAGACTAGCCACTGGATACAATTCAATTTTTTTCTTTTTTAACAAAGGTAATTATTTACTATTATTTTTTATCTTTAATGGGGGTGGGGGAAGGGGAGAGTTGAGAGAAAATCTAGAATATCACGGAGATACCACGTCAGTGGTATCCTGAACCACGTTACTCTGGTCGGTAAGAGGTTACACCTCAAAGCTCGAAACAAGCTTACGTGGCCCAATGAAAGGGGAAGTGTTGACCGGAGAGTGCAAGAGGCGAGTGCCCCTAGCACTGCTCTTCACTGTATTAGTCTTGGAACTTGGAATGATTGCATTTAAAAGTTGAATCAATTATTGGGAGACCAACTAGGATTACATTTTCTTTTTGTTTTAATTTGGGGAAGGCAAAGGACAAATACATTAATAAAAAT